AATCTATAGATGAAATTGGGAAGAACTTGACATCTTGACAAAATTGAGTCTTCCAATTCATAAACGTGGAATATCTCTCCATTTATTTAGTTCTTTGATTTCTTTCATCATAGTTTTGTGCTTTTCCTCATGTAGATCTTGTATATATTTTGTTAGATTTATGCCAAAGTATTTCATTTTTTGAGTGCTAATATAAATGGCATTATGACTTAAATTTCAAATTCCGCTCATTTATTGCTGGGATATAGGAAAGCAATTGACTTTTTGCATGTTAACCTGTGTCCTACAACTTTGCTATAGTTGCTTATTAGTTCCAGGAGCTGTTTTGTCGATTCTTTTGGATTTTCTACATAGACAGTCATGTCATCTGCCAACAAAGATAGCTTTATTTCTTTCTTCCCAATGTGTATATACTTTTTATTTCCTTTTCTTGTCTTGTTGCCTTAGCTATAATTAAGTAACTTTCTGAAGGACACAGAACAAGTAAGTAGCAGAACAGTATTCAAACTCATGCCCATGTAATGCTAAGGCACACACTCTTTAATCATTAAGCTAGCTCGCATTCAGTGCTCCTTTCATGGGCATAGATTTTATACGTTTCTTTGCATATAACTCATCTTTTGTTTGTTGTCATTTATAATTCCTTTTGCCATCTTCATTGTGTCTTTTGGTGGGTCGCTACTTTTCTTTTTGGCTTGGTGTTCTTTTTATCAGAGCTCTTCCTCTGAAAAATTCTTTCAGCATGGGATGTGGAATTTGGAATTGAACTTTTACCTGCAGTGGTTGTACACTTACCAATAAAACTTATTTTTTTCATCAGTAAAACGTATAGACAACCATGACAACATATTCATTAATCATGGCTCATCTTGCCTCCCCCAGTGCAGAATGAGGTCTGACTGTGCTCGTGCTGGTCTTTGCAGCCATTAACCCAACACAGAAAGTTTCACTTTGGTGGGATGACACCTCCCTTTTTCAATGCAGACCCAATTCAGCAGGAGGCCTGCTTCCTCAGCTTGACCTTGTCTGCTGGTGACTCTCGAGTCGTCACGGGTTCACTTCTCCCCCTTGCTGGTTCTCATCCCATGGCTTTAATGTTTTGTTTTCTGAGTTAAGATAATATATAAGTCAAAAAAACCCATAACACTCCATATAAGAGAAAAAGAAAAAACCCAAAGATTAACCACAGTACTATCCCCCAGGGACAGCCATAGTTAGCATTTTTATATATATCCTTCCAAATATGCTTGCACTTAGACCATTATGGAATTATAATAATAATTATTTTTACAAAAAGGTGTCCACTAGACATGCTGTTTTATAACTTTTTTTTACTTCAACACTATGTTTTGGACATCTTTACATGTAGAGAAATATAGATATTCATCATCTCTACTGCTCTGCGTAGTTTTTCATCGCAGATATAAGCCATGTTTATATGATCCATTTCCTACTGAGCGATACCAAGTCCTTTCTTTTTCTTTCTTCCTCCTCCTCTCCCTCCTTCTCATTCTTCTCTACCTCCTCCTTTCTATTCTTCCTTAAACCGTTAGACTTCAACTGTTCAATAAGCGCACATGCTTTCTTCATTTTGACTTCATAGTCTTTTTTTTCTTTTGCTTTTTGCTCCTTCCCCTCCATACTTATGTTGGGTTCTACTTAGTCTCCCCTCTACTCTCATCACTCTGGTCCATGATATACTTTCTCCCTTTCTCTGCTTACTCTGCACTTTGCTTTGGTAACTAAGGTGATTAGTAACTAAGGAGAGAGATGTTAAGAGCCTTGCTGCTGATTACACAGTGATTCTTGTCAGAGCCAAGCTAGAACTCAGGTCTCCGGGATTTCAGACCTCTAGTCTTTTCACTAGATTGAGTTGCGTCATCATGGCTGAGGTTAGAAGTAGCATCACATTTAGTGTACATGTCAAACAAGGAAGCAAGCAAGCAAACAATAACAGCAACAAAAATAGAAAAGAAAGGGAGAGAGGAGAATATTCACTAACTTAAGTAGAGGGACGTGAATTCAGTGTTCCCTCTGCTCAGTGACTTAGTTCCAGGTGAATTAAAAAAGAACTCTTTGTGGGGCCAGCCTGGTGGCATAGTAGTTAAGTGCGAGCTCCGCTTCAGTGGCCCAGGGTTCGCAGGTTCGGATCCCTGGTGCACACCTATGCACCGCTCATCAAGCCGTGCTGTGGAGGTGTCCCACATACAAAATGGAGGAAGATTGGCACAGATGTTAGCTTGGGGACAATCTTCCTCAAGCAAAAAGAGGAGAATTGGCAACAGATGTTAGCTCAGGGCCAATCTTCCTCACCAAAAAAAAAAAAAAAAAGAACTCTTTGTGAGTGTTTACCTACCTTCATTTGTTCCAAAACCATTCAAAATATATGACTGTTAACCTACCAAGCAGTGCCATGTGAGACCCAAGCTTATAGAGCTAAAAGGAAGTGTAATAAATAGAGTCAATAATATCTGTACTTAGCAGTAAGGGAATCATGGCTGATGTATTAACTTAATTTCTTTTTCAGAATTAAAAGAGTTTGTATACAGTCTCTGTATGTGATATCAGGTGGTCAAGACTTGGTCTCTTAATCTTTTCCCTAAACCCACAAGTAAATAAGGAAATTATAAATACGTGCTGAGGTAAACTGAGTTGGAACATGAAAACAACTGGTCTTGTTAAGTGTATCTTGGCAGTAAGTTTTTGCAAAGCCAAGGTCACTTCCTCTGTGGCTTTTCCTAGGTCCACCTTTGTTTCTCCTTTGGCAGTAATCGCTTCCTGCTCTGGGGCATTTCTTACCCAAGCCACCCATTTGACCTGTACTAAATCGTACTTGTTTGTTATGTGTGCATTTAAGATACATCAATGGTTAGATTAATTAAACAAGGAGGCCGTTAGACGAGGTGGCTCTAACGCGGTGGCGCCCACATAAGCAAACCATAATCTCAGCCCGTAAGTGCCCCAGGGTTACGAAATCGAAATCAAGAGCAACCCATCACGACAGCCAACTAGGCTTTAAGCCAGAGCCAACCGATGATTTCCTTGCTTTGCTTCACTTTTCTCTATAGGAGTCCCTCCCCAGCTCCTGTTGGTGGAGTGCTTCTTACCACTTACAATTCGATGCTGCCCGATTTGAATTGATTTTTGCTCAAATAAACTCTTAACATTTGTAATTTGCCTCCGTTTATCTTTTAGCACTATAAAGTAAAAAGACCACATTTTAAGACCAGATGAAATTCTTTTTATGCTGATGAGATTTGCTTTTTAAAATAAAAGGAAATTAAACACTTATTCCAACATTGCTTCAAGTGTTTAGAAGAGTTTTTGAGAGGAGGGGGCATTCTCCTTGTGAGTTGCCTTCAGATCCTACTACAAACGAGGTGTCTCCCCCCACCCCACCATAAGTTTGGAGTAGCACAACAGTTGCTAAAGAAGCCTGCTCATTTCCCTTGTGTCCCTGGGTAAGTTCACCAACCTTTCTGTGCTTTAGTGTCCTCAACTATAAAATGATCATAGTAGGACTCAGCGCATAGAATTGTTCTAACGGAGTTAAATACTTAAGTGCTCAGAGCGGTGCCTGGCACATGAGAAACAGCGTCAGCCTTTGGTGACTGTGTCTACGACCAGGACAGCTGCTCTTCCTCCACCACTGCTGCTACCACTACGAGAACCCTCCCTCCATACTGATTTACAAAGACATTGGCTCCAAATGACTTCCGGCTGTGTCTGCAAACAAAACACATCCCCCAAGGAGGAAGGTTTGCCACTAACGAAGCAGTGAAAAGATGTATTGCAAGATCTAAAGTCAGTCCTGAAAGAGGAGTCCCCCAAGTGTTCCGAGCAGTGGAGCGACTTGGAAGTACATGTCCAGTCCCTCCGATGACTGCTCTGAAGGCAGCCCCCCCAGCCGGATAGAGAGCGCACATTTCAAAAAGTCAGTCATACACTTTACGTCTCGGTTCTCCCAAGGAGATACGCTTCTTGAAGACAAAAGCTGTGTGTTCCACTTCTGTGTACTTCCGTGGCATCTGGCACACTGTTCAATAAATGTGTTGATTAGCTGCTGAGGTTGAGTCGAGGAGAGGAAAATTAGGAATAAAATGTTCTCCAGTTAATTGCAAATTGCTTCCCTACTTAAAAATGAATTTGCATTTTATTATCTTTTTTCTACCATTTCTGGAAAATGCTTTAGTTGGCATTTGTCATTCGATTTTATACAGTTTTGTGGCAATTTAATTTCTTCAAAGGGCCCATTGTAGGATTTTCTTTTTTTGTTATTGATTCAAAATGGAAAGAAGTGTTAGTGGAAAGGCAAGCCTTTTCTGGTCATACTCATGAAATTTGTGGAGAAAATCATCGACGTTTAGAGCTGGTAGGGACCACGTCATTGTAGCCTGAATACCCCCCAGCACACTGACTGCCTGGAACGGTGCACACTTAAGTTATTGAAAAATAAACAGATCTCTTAGTCCATCCTCTTCATTTCACAATTGAGGAGACTGAGCCCAGATAACTTGCTCACAGTCGCACAGTGGTATAGGAGGGATTAGAATAAATGTTCCTTGATGTCATCATGTTTTAAATGTGGATTTGATGTTTAAATTGTAACATGGAAAAGACTTTAAATTTAGTCTTTGAAAAATTCCCTTTATTTTAAAGTATGTGAATAAATCAAATTCTTAGGTTAACATCTGTTAGATTTTAGGAAAGCTGTACTAGGAATTTGTTCATACAAGTCAAAAGGATTGTTTTAAGGTGAAAACAAAGTAAAATGTCTTTTAAGTGGCTGGTTCAAGGCCTGTCAATTTATTCATTTCCTTTCCCCTACCGTGAGTCTTTTCTCTGCTATATATGATTAGGAATTCCTATTGACTCTGAAAGACTTTCTCTTGGAACCATTTGTTTCTCTCAATACATAACACATCTCCTCCTTCTCTGTATTTATTAGACTTGCGAGAAATGTTGGTTATCCTGTTGATTGATTTTCTGTTATTTCACAGGATGGAAAAAAGGAGCCAAGTTCATGTACCTGTTTGAAGGGGCCTAAACTATCAGAAATAGGGACAATTGCCTGGATGATAACGCTCTGTGACGCCCTCCACAATTTCATCGATGGCCTGGCGATTGGGGCTTCTTGCACCTTGTCTCTTCTTCAGGGACTCAGCACCTCTATAGCGATCCTGTGTGAGGAGTTTCCTCATGAGTTAGGTAAAGGCTCTGCTCATGTTGTAAAGCCCGACACTTCTTGGTGTCAGGGGAGTGAGACATTTCAGGTGACACAATCTTAAAAATCTTGCTGATGCATCAAAATGAAGGAGCCCTTGTTCGACATTGATGATTATCTTTTATCTCATCCCAAAAGTGAAAGAACGATTCACTTGATCTTTTCTTCTTCTTCTAGGGGACTTTGTGATCCTACTCAATGCAGGAATGAGCACTCGACAAGCCCTGTTATTCAATTTCCTTTCTGCATGTTCCTGCTATGTTGGGCTAGCTTTTGGCATTTTGGTGGGCAACAATTTTGCTCCAAATATCATATTTGCACTTGCTGGAGGCATGTTTCTCTATATTTCTCTGGCGGATATGGTAAGAAATTTTAATATTTCATCTTGTTTTAATTTAAAATTTAGAAATAAATGTTTGGATTATGATTTGACTCAGTGCAAAAGGAAGTCCTTACTGTTGTAATTTAGAACATTTCTGGTTCAACAGATAACTCTTCTTGAGTAGTTTGTACTAATAGTAATTTGAAAGTGATTCTCATTGATTAAAATCTATGATCATATTGATAGAAGATGAAATGATTTATTTCATGAAGTGATTTATTTTAATGAAGTAGAGATATTTCCCCAGGATTTTTGCCATGTGCTGGGTAAACCTTGTATTCCATTATAGTATGTCCTCATAGGACTTTTCCCCCTGTTTTGTGAGGATGTCACATCGAGAAGGGAATAACTTGTTAAAGTAAATAGCATTTTGTTATTTCAAAGTTCTAAACAGTGAGAGCCATTTGGGTTAAACTAAAACTGGTAAATTAAAATTGGACAATGTTTACTTGGGTCGGTATGTATTTGTATCGATGTTTGTGGCTGTGCTGTGTCTCTGTCTTTGTTTATGTCTCTGTATGTGTAAGAGAGAGAATATCAATGGTCCTGTGTGTTTTCAAATGGATCATGGACAGCTTTCTAGAAAATGAAAGTGTGCTAAGTGTATGCCAATCAAGAAATGTTTCCTTTGCATTTGGAACTGAATATGTATTACATGCATAATTTAATAATTTAATTTCCTTCATCTGCATTCTTAGCTCCAAATGATAACTGTCTCCCCGTGTTCATTGTTCTGTGCAGACCCTTATAAGAGCAAGAATTTCATCTCTTAGAACCATCACTACATTTTTATTTTTCTTCACAGAATTAATGTCTCATACTGTATGGATATTAGGTCATCATTTCTCCTTTCTCTGATATGAGAACAGAATCTGTTAGAGTTGTTCAGTTTAAAGAAATAACACTAGCAAATGATGCTGTGTGTACTTACAGCAGTTTTGCTTTTCTCAGAGTGGTTTCATAGCTTTCTCTCATCTCATCCCAGTAACCATTTCCTTGAGTCAGGCACACGGATTGACTGTGCGCTCTGGAGACCTCTAAGGTGCTTTGGTACAGTGCGCCACTGCATACAGAGCAAATCATTTTGGAATATGTTTTGAAAGGCTGCCATTTACACATCTCCTCATGGAGCCTTTCCAGAAAGTAGAAATTATCTGCTGAGAAAGGGTAGATTTTTAAGTACAAAACTTGGGGTTTTAATTGCTTTCACACTAACGAGATTGTTAATAGTCTTCAACACTGGAGCAGTGTGTAATTTATTTTAAAAGTTTATGATTTTGTGAGAGGTAGAGCAAGCAGAAGGAAACAAGTTGAAGAGAATAGGAATTACATGTATAGTGGTTCTAAAAATTTATTTAATCAGCTACTATCGATGGATATTTCTGCACCAGGCCTGGAAGTTGTGAGGCCCTAAGGACACTAGGGTGAGCCGAAGAGGCCCAGTCCTGTGTCCCTGGGCTTTCTGTCCACAGAGAGGGGAGCCTGACTCTCAAACAGAGTCACACACGTGACTAAAGAACTGCAGATAAGAAAATCTGTGAAGCCCAAGGAAAAGCAATATATATGAGGAGAGATGATAATAGGGGAATCTGATGTAGGTTAGGAGGGGTGCTAAGGGAAGCCTTTCTAGGAAATTGTGATTTAAGCTGAAACCTGAAGGATTTAGCTCATTGAAAATGTGGAGGGAGAAGAGTGCAGATAGGGGTTTTGGTGGGTGTGAAGATTTTGAGGATGGAAAGAGGCTGGATGCATTTGAGGTCCTGAAGGAATGTTATGGATGGACCATAGAGAGCAAGGAAGAGAAAGAGAGGGAGGGAGGGAAGAGGGAGAGACGAGGCATAACATGAGGTGAATCCCGTCCTGTGGTTGACTCACTTGGAGAAGACTGTTTTAGTGCTTTTATTCTTGTTGGTGTCTGTTAGGGCTAGAGATCCCTTTATGCTAATCTATACTAAAACATTTAAACCTCTGAAATAAGTGATCAGCCACCCCCCCCACCGAAATCTATAAATGACTGTTTTATGTTTTACCACAAGATGGCAACGGTTATCTAATAATATGTCTTCCTTGTAGTTTCCGGAGATGAACGATATGCTGAGAGAAAAGGTAACTGGAAGAAAAACCGATTTCACCTTCTTCATGATTCAGAATGCTGGAATGTTAACTGGATTCACAGCCATTCTGCTCATCACTTTGTATGCGGGAGAAATTGAATTGGAGTAATAGGAAGTGAAAGATGGTGTTGTTAGTGAAGGCATCTAATAAATAAACACTTCTCCAAAGGGGTTTTTAAGCTGATGCTATTTAGCGAAAAGATAATTTTGTTTTCAACTATGGGTCAAGGAAACTGATGGTTAGTTTCAGATTGTGAAACAGACCGTTATTTGTTGTTAACAATGCTTCAAAAGGCTTTCAGTTCCAGCTGAAAAGCCTGGTGTATGAGATCTTTGGTAAACACCCACTTTTCCATGTTTCATGCATATTCAAAAATCATCACAAAGCAAGAAACATGCATTCTATAATCATTTAGACACAGAGACCCAGAGAAGAATACAGGCGAGGTTGTATAAGCCTTTAAACCCCTATGGTAGGATCAAAAGTTCAGTGGTTTCAGAGTGGTTTTCTTTTAATGAATTTGTTCTGGTGCTTTCATGAGCAAGTACATTGAAATGTGGAAGAGAATCAAAACGTATACAACACAGATATAAATGATTCCAAGGCCTTAACTAACCCAGGAAAGAAAGATTGCTCACAGCTTTTGCTCTGTTTCATATTTCAGGTAGAGACTTGTAGGTTTGTTTTGAAAACCATCCTAAAATAATATGAATTATGAAATCAATGAAGTTTTGTTAGCCCTACTAAGTTCAGACTTTGATACTTTATCTCTAAGTGTAAATTCTACTAGATTCCCTAAAAATCTAGAATTGCTTTTTTATGACTTATGTTGTGATTGCACCACAAGAAGTGTCAGAACAGTATGTAAAGCTGATGACAACTCAGTTCAGTGTACAGTGTGTTTGCTTTGTGAAGGTGAAGAATATGTTGGTTTGTAGAAAGAAATGGAATGTAATTTTAAGCAATTTATTTTTAAAGATGAACACAATTATTTAGCAGGGGATATTTTAAATAAATGCAAAATAACAACTGGACTGCTGTGTCAAGGACTGATTAACTAGAAGACATACGTTCCTTATGGGTGATTGAGAGTCATTCAGAAAAGACTTGTTTTGTGTTCAGCCTACATTTGTCCTATATAGTATGCTTTGGGAAAGCAATTCTGCACACCATGGTTATTTTTCTACCTTCTATAAAAGATGGAGCCTGTTTACTCGTTTAGCAGATATAGCAAGTTGGTCTAAAATTGAACATCCTAACCCCAATTCACACTCCCAAGTCACTTAAAGAAAGATGATTTTGTTTGTTTGTGAGGAAGATCAGCCCTGAGCTAACATCCAATGCCAATCCTCCTCTTTTTTTTTTCTTTTTTTGCTGAGGAAGATTGGCCCTGAGCTAACATCTGTGCCCATCTTCCTCTAAGAAAGATGATTTGAGGGCCGGCCCCGTGGCTTAGCGGTTAAGTGCGTGTGCTCCGCTATTGGTGGCCCGGGTTCGGATCCCGGGCGTGCACTGACGCACCGCTTGTCCGGCCATGCTGAGGCCACGTCCCACATACAGCAACTAGAAGGATGTGCAACTATGACATACAACTATCTACCGGGGCTTTGGGGGGGAAAAAAAAGGAGGAGGAGGATTTGCAATAGATGTCAGCTCAGAGCCGGTCTTCCTCAGCAAAAAGAGGAGGATTAGCATGGAAGTTAGCTCAGGACTGATCTTCCTCACAAAAAAAAAAAAAAAAAGAAAGAAAGATGATTTGACAGTGAGGAAAATGATTGATAAAAACTAACAATGATCTCAGGAATTACATTTTCCCACAGACCATAGAATGGTGTCACATAGCACTAATGCAGATCTGAAGAGTATTTAACATGTGTTAATGTACATTTCACTTTATGACTGACAGTTAAAAAATTATCATTTGACCAAGTAGTAAACACCTTTGAAACCAAGTATTGTGTCATTCATTATTCATTTTAATATGTATCTTTTTGAATGACTTCCAGGTACCTGGTATTATAGGGGAGAGACATAAATAGGAAACTGGTGGTGTGTTTATTTCAAAGATATTCAGCAAATAAATACTGTAAAGATTAATCATTGTTCATTAAAATCTATAAACATAGAATCTATTTTTATCATTTCTTAGGAAATAATCTTACCTTTTTAAAGCGCAGATTGTACGTCTGGGTTAAGAAGCTATTGACAACATGATGTTAAAACAAGGCAGTTTAATAAGCTCTCATTTGGTGTGGATCTTGTGTATGTGGCCTGTGTGGGTGCTTTGCATTACTCTCTCCATGTGTTGATCTTTTGTCCATTCTCCTCACCTATGAGGAGAACAGAGGCAATAGGGCATGAAGACCCAAAAAGCAAAAAGAAAATTGCTACTTATTGGAAGTTGGTGGTTGCAGGTAGAAGGTAGGATATGGAAAGCCATGATTTAATTTTAATTATCCTAGATAACTATTCAAAAAAGTGTACACCTATCAGTCAACATATCTTACACTGAGGCATTCTTTATACCAGTTGAATATTCTATAATTTTTAGACTTTAAAGATGCTATGACAAACCAAAAATGATTTCAATGCGTTATGTATTGGGTTATATATTTTTATTTTTGCATTATTTAACTTTTAAAAATGCCTACTGAAAGCTGGCATGTTTTGAGTACTGAATCAGACCCCATCTTAGTCCGTTCAGGCTACTGTAACAAAATACCACAGACTGGGTAGCTTATAAACCACAGAAATTTATTTCTCACAGTTCTGGAGGCTGGACATCCAAGACCAAGGTGCTTGCAGATTCCGTATCTGGTTCATAGCTGGCGTCTTCTTGCTGTGTCCTCACCGGGTGGAAAGGCAAGGGATCTCTCTAGAGCCTCTTTTATGAGAACACTAATCCCATTCATGAGGGCTCTATCCTAATGACCTAAGCACCTCCCAAAGTCCCCACCCCCTAATACTGTCATCTTTGGGCGTTAGGATTTCAGCATATGAATTTTGGGAGGACACGAACATTCAGACCATAGCAGACCCCTACTCAGCTATTGTGGAGTAAAAACCCACCTGAAGAGTCCAAGGCTCATAACAACAGGTAATTTTTGTGCTCACAGATCTGCTGACTGAGGTGCAGCTGATCTAGCCTGGGCTCTGCTAAGTGGCTAGGCTTCAGGCTGGAGGCTCAGGCTGTGGGTCATCTAGGTTGGGCCCCTGAAGTAGGAGGTGCTGCAGAGTCACGTGGCAAAGGGTATAGATGTGCAATTCCAATACAGGGGAGAGTGAAGAAGTACAGATGGATGTAATTGACTTTAAGTAGTCTCTAGAGACTATCCATTATTTCATTTTACCTAGTAGAAAATATCTCATCAATAATAATTCACCCAGAGCTTCCAGAACCACTTCCTTGTGTGAACTCGAATATTTGTCCTGATTTCTTTATGAGAATATTGTGTTCTTTCCTTTACCAGTATAAGCTGTCCTGTGTAGATGTGTGGATACGACAGTGGTTTACTCCAAGCCAAGCTAGTCTGCGTTTCTTCAGTTTGTGAGTCTAGCCCTGCGGCGTTCGCGTCTAGAGCAGTTGCTCAGCGTGGCCCACATGCGAGTCCAGTCGTGTCGTAATGATCTCTACATGCTTGGTAAAGACTTCCTGAATTGGGTATTTCCCACCTACCGCATCTAAAAGGGTTTCTTTGACTAGGACCTTAAATCTTAAAAAGTGAACTAATTGAGAAGAACCAAAACAGCACTACGAGTTTACCAGCTGGTTAGCCGAGGCGGGTTGACAGAGCTAATGACTGGCGGCCTGTGCCGTTCCCTGCCGCTCCGGGCTCCGTGCTCCACTTGGCATCGTCCTGCCCCGGGGCTCCTCTGGCTGTTGTCAGTAGGCCGCCGTGCTTCCCGGACTCCCTGTGTGTTTGCTGAAGGTCCACTGCGGTGCCGGAGTGGCCCCCGCAGGCCACGCACCCCGGGACCCCGCCTCCCCGCTCTGGGGGCAGTGCCCGTGTCGGCTTCCTCTCTCTGCTGAGGATGCGCAGACTCTCTCTCATGACCACTTAACTTCTCGTATTGGAGGCCCAGCTTCTGTGTGTCTCAAAATCAGTGACTTGGCTAGTAAAATTTCAGGTAAGCTAAGGCAGGGAGATAAACCAAAACCCCCAAATGCCTGTTCCATTAATTCTAAGACACGCATTTCCCCCCATCTTTTAACATTTCCAAAGGAGGTGCTGCAATCGCTGGCAGCCAGGTGGCATGTTGAGGTAGGAGAGTTGAGTGAAAATGAAAAGCACTGTTGGAATCTGGTAAGGCCAAGAAAATGCCGGCGTCACTGCGTTTAGGATTTGTTGGGGTATGATAACAGGCGCTTACACGCGTCAGGTCTCCTCTCCTTCCTGTCGGAGGAGTGTGGCAGAAGCAGTGCAGTGCCTGCATGGCAGTGTCCTGGTCATGGGGAACCCAGGCTCCTTTGATCTGTCCTCTGTGGCTTCTGACTTCAAGATAACTTCATGTTCTAAGATGCTTGCTAGAGAGACCAGCCTTAGAGTCTAAATTCCATACAGCAGGAAGGACGAATGGGTAGAAAAACAAAACATTCACACCCAGCTCCTCATCCCCCTAAAAGAGCTTTCTCAGAAGTGGCATACGACAATCTCCACTTACATTCATCCACCAGAATTCGTCACATGGCCACACCAGCGCGCAAGAGAAGCTGGAAAATGTTGCTTTAGCCGGACGCACTGCTACCGATAAAGTCAGGGTGCCGTTACGAAGGGGAAGCAAAGAATGGATATGCGGCAGATTAGTGGCCATCTCGGGTGCAGACAGGTTTGCATCGGTTCCCTTGGGGACCTTGTTATTCTAGATGGTTCTGATGCAGCCAGTTCAGGGAACTGCTTCTTTTGGGGGTTCTCATGGCTTTTTGCAAATTAATTCCTTGTCACCTTAACTGTTTTAATTATCCTGGCCCACCTGACCCATCTTACTTTATAAACGGTATTGTTCATACGCATTTGTAGTTAGAATTTCTCTGTTAGCCTGTTGTGAGTACCATTTACTTTGAAGACATCCTGTTTTTCACAGGATGGTCTAAATTCTAAGGAAACTGAAACAAAACTCTTTTTCTGTGGACTTTAATTTTTCTGTTTAAAACTTTTCTCATTACTAGGCTCATATCCAAAACTATGTAATGAAGTACTGTCAGCAAAAATTCGCAAAAATAAATTTTAAAAAAACATTTCTTTTTTTCCCTCTCTCTGTATGGGTCATTACTGCTATTTAGCATAAGCAAAGTTGGATCAGAAGTGTTGTTATCTGCTTTTGTAGATAATTAAATGGGCTACTGGTGACATCAAATCTCACCATCGTTTAGTTTGGGTGTTTACAGCAAGATTACCAGAGAACAATTATAATGGGTAGGGCTGGCGTGTTTTAAACTCTATACAATGGCTTCATGCCTGTGACAGGGATTGTGTGTGTATCCCCACAACTGTATGGACCGATCCGTGGTAAAATCTGTGGATATCCGATCCGTGGATAACTTATGCTTGTGGTCCCCAAAGGGGTGTTTGGTCAGGGGTTATGGGAACGGAAAATAAAGATGCGAAATGATGAATTACAGGGAAAAGTCTCTTAGGAAGAATTCAAGTCAGAAATGCTTCCCTCCCTCAGAAAACTGAGGACGTTTATAAAACCCGTCTCCTTCTGTATTTTGTGGCAGACTCCAGCACTGGGCCCCGCAGAACGCTGGGTCGAGCCCGCTGCGGTTAGGAGGGACACAGCAGACTGGGGGCTGACTCCCTTCCAGGAAACAGGCTGAGAAGGTGCCACCAAGGGGCTCTCGAGGTTGAGCTGCCGCTGTGTCCGCCTTGACCTTCAGGCTTCGAGTTTGCCGGGACAGAGGAGACGTGAACGTTCCCTGGGGTAGTGTGAGCTATGTGGGGGTGAGAGATCCGGTCTGGAACAATTTTAAAGTCATGTGTAAGAGGGGTACCATCTTGAGGACAGTGAAGGTCAGCACTGAGTGGACTTCGGAAAACCCGGGACTGAGTCAGGTGGACGACTGGAGAACAGAATGCATCCCCGAGGAGGAGCTCCTCTGAAGAACCCTAAATGTGCTGGTAAGAGAAGGGGTTAGCTTTCAGCACCTGTCAGTCCAGACAGCATGAAGCCATATTTTGACTGTACCGGGCAAGCAAGAACTTTTCTAGGCCTCCTTTTCCCTCCTCCATCCAAGCCCTGAACCCTGGAGGAACCAGAAGCCACAGTTAGCAGACAGCGGGAG